GCCAGCAACTTTAACGGAGTGGTTCCGTAAGCTGGAGAGGATCTTCACCGTTCTTCGATGCCCAGACGCCCAGCGCATCGAGTGCGTTGAATACCAGATGGATGGTGATGTCGCCGACTGGTGGACTGACTATTGGGTTCTGAGGCCGGAGGCTAAGCGGACTGCCCTCACGTGGGTCAGGATGAAGGAGATTGTTACTGACAAGTACATTCCCAAGAGCTATCGTGACCAGAAGGAACGAGAGTTCTATGATCTCCGACAAGGTAGCACTTCCGTTGACGAGTATGCTCAGGCCTTTACCCGGTTGAGTGCTTTTGCCCGGCACATGATCAACATTGAGGAGAGGAAGGCTCGTAAGTTCAGAGACGGGCTTCGCCAAGACATTCGTGTTTTGGTGGCTAGTCATGGGGATCTCCCTTTAGCAGAGACCGACATCCGAGCACAACAGATCGAGAGCTGCATGGCTCCTATTGCCCCAGTTCCTTCATACCATCATGCCTCGACTACCCAGCCAGCTACCACTACTCAGCCTCCATCTAGCTCGAACAAGAGAGGGAACGACCATCACCAAGACCGCAAGAGAGGCAAACGCCACAATAATGACCGACGTGTTGACTATCCAGTGGCTCAGAATATACAGCCTATCCGTCAGGCACCCACTGGAGTGCCTCGTTGTGGGGCTTGTGGTAGACACCATGCCGCGGGAGATTGTCGTGCGACCCAGAAAACTTGTTTTAACTGCGAGAGACAAGGGCATTTTGCCAACATGTGTCCTGAACCGAAGAGACAGAACCAAGTGCAGCAGCAGTATCAACAGGATCAACCAAGGATTGGAGGAGGAGGTCAAGCACGTGTATACATGTTGGCCAAAAACGAAGAGGAACCGAACTAAGACTGAGCAACTGATCGAATATCTGGGAGAAGAGGATTATTGTTTTTCTGTTTTCTTAGGATTTCATTTCTCGTAATCTTTTTCAACTCACGTCTATTTTTTCATGTAGTAACTTTGTTTGGAGACCTTGTTCACAAATAAGATTGGGTGCCCTTGAATTTCTACTTATCTTTATTTGTTTGCAAAGTTTGTGAATTTCATTTGTGATGCCATTAAATTAATGCGAAATTCAAGAACGCGAATACCATCACGACGCTTGAGGTATCTTAGCCTCGAGAAAGACGACATTCGTTTATTCTCGTATGATCGAATTGAACGTTGCATGGAGTATAGCTTAGCGAAGAGAGCCAAGAAGACTTGACCACGTTAAGGATCATGAAGGAATTTAAGGAGGGTAGCCAAGGGAGGCGAAGAGCATAGTAGTTAGTTTGCAGCGTGACCCGGGCACAAGACTGAAACTTAGCACTGCATATCAAACCCAGCTAGTTGGACGTTTGGACCATACTGTCGAGACACTAAGAGTCCAGTTGGGGTCTTGTGTACTTGATAGGTATGTCGTGCGATGTTTTTCTTACCATGGGACGATACACTTATAACGATGGTTATCAAGCGACGATCCTGATGGTACCATTCGAGGTTTTGAGTACAGATAGAGGTGTGGTACACCTAGATTCTGGGAAGATAGGAAGTTGCAGCCACATTCTTCTTCCAGTTCTTTTGAGATTCTCGATCGAGTCGACGACTTACCCTGACGGTCAACTCCATCACTAGAGCTTGCGGGAGTGCACGACATGTTCTGGGCCTCGTGGTAGAGGGGACATGTGCGTGATCCCGGGGCATGTGACGAACTTTGACGAGCTGCGTGTTGGGCAGAACCCTACCTATGTTGAGGAATCGGTGACCTGTGTGATCAGAGGGTCCATCAGGGAGAGGCCGGGATGGGTACTCGTCAAAGTCCAGCGGGGTCGCCGGGGTGAGTGCGGTGCGACTTGGGAGGACAAGGATAAGAATTAAACGAAGTCTCCGAGCTTCGTGGTTTGGACTTCTTTATTGCATTTGTTGTCCCTTGTAGGGATGCAAATTCTTTTATATTTCCGAGGACGGAAATCTTTTAAGGAGGGTAGATTGTAGCGCCCCGTTTGTTTATTAGATTTTTAGGATTTATATGATTATTTATTTGCTGCATACTTGATTATTTTCCTTGTGTTATATTATTTGTTCATATGTTATTTTTTTAATTGCTCGTTATTACCCCTCCATTTCATTTATCTGTTAAAATGTAAAAATTGTTATATGCTTAATTGTGTTTAATTATTTTGCGAATTATTTTTGTCGTGATGATCGAGTAAATTAGAATTATTTTAAATATTAAAATTTATCGTTGGGTGATCTTCGATTATAACGCGTAGAATAGCTTTCGTCCCCGTCACCCATTTCGGTGTTTTATATCCAAAGCATGGAGGATTAAACCATTTTTGGCCCAATCTCCTTGTGATAGCTATTACCAGCCCATTTAATTGGCCCAAGTATGATTAATTCCAGCTTTTGTGTTGGTTTGGCCCAAATTCCTTGCAATAACTCTGGACCCAATTTTGGAGAGAATTAATTCACGTGCAATGAGCAGAAGAGAATCAAGAGATCCCTGTGACCGAATCCATCCCCCATCTTCGTCAGTTGCGCGTTTGTTGCGATTTTCTTGCGAAATCCTTCGCACGTCTCTCCCTCTCTCGCTCTATAATATCTCGGCTAGAGACCCTTTCTTCCCCACCAAAATTTCACAGCTCTCTTTGCATAAGATCTGTTTCAGCTATAAAATTTGAAAATAGCCCTGCACTTTCAGTCCGTCCTCTCCCGTGGCCAATTTCCGGTGAGTCTTTGTTGGCCGGTGATAGACCCGTGAGCAACTACCAGTCGCCGCCGACCCCTCAACCGTTCAGTCCACGAGCAGCATCTCGGCTAGGTCGCGAGTAGCCGTGCGTTTAGTTTCAGTTCGAGGAGTTTTGGGGTTCCGATCTGCTCATCCGAGTTCTGTTCGTTTGGTCCGTTTATTCCCCAAAATTTTGTCTGTTCCGAAAGAAAGGTAATCAATCGAACCTTCGTCACATTTATGTAAGAGCACTGGTGATTTTTCGTTGGTTATAGCGCATTGTTTCCAGCTTCTTTGATTTATCGATTCGTATATTTGTTTTGTTTGTCGGGTTGGTTTTTATGAAATCATCGTGGAAAAGGATTGGAACTCTCGTTTTTGATATCGAACCCCTTAGGTTGCTGTGATAAATTCTGTGAAGTTGGGTCCCCTATTTTGTTATTTCGAGCTTTTCTGTCGTCTTGTTGTTGCTCTTTTGATGTCTTGTGAATCTTCGTGAAAATTCGGGACTCTTGTTTATGTGATATTCGAACCCTGTTTTGCTGCTTTGATTATTGTCGTTTCGTTTTTCGAACGAATAAAACCCGATTTTTATAAAACTTCAAACTCCGAAACTTGTAATTTCATGAATATGGATTTTTCCTCGATTCTGGTTGCCCAGAAGTTGAAACTGTCGTCGAGTTTGCTGCCCCTGTTCGCATTTCACAGTCTCTGTTAATGTCCCAGCTTTCGATCTTTTATTTATCTGCTCGCAGCTATGTAGTTTGTGTCTATTCTGTTGCCCTTAGTCCAGGTCTTTGTTTTAGTGTTAAAAGACTTTGATTTTGCATTTTCAATAACAAAGCGGCGATTGGCGCAGTGGTGCACTACGCCCTTTTCCTTGTGAGAGGCGCGGGTTCGATCCTAGGAAGCAGCAATTTATTTTTTTATTCCCAGCAGCGCAGCCCTTTATCTCGCCCAGCTGCAGCCCGCGACCCGAACCCCCAGCCCGCAAGCCCGCGAGACCCTCAGCCTGGTAACAGGTCCATTGTGGCCACTTTGGGTTTATTTTGGGCCCAGTTTATCCATGTTCATGGCAGCTCGGTCCAGATTAGCTTTTTGGCCCAATTTTGAGTCCGGAGTCTGATTTTCAAGCTAAACTCATTTTTAAAAACTATTTTCAACTCAGATAAATTTGATAAAAATAATTTAAGTTTGACCCCATCTTCTTTTTCCGAGTCTCTATCCTTTATGAATTTTGAGAGTTCCAAGTCCACGAAAAATTCGATAAAACCCTAAATTCTTAATTTTGATTAAGTGTGGGTTTTCCATGATTCTCGAGTAATGATATAGATTATTGATATATTATCTTATTTAAATGTAGGTGTTTGAGGAGTCGAGTCTCTAACTACTACCGATCATTTTATTTTCGTCTATCTCGAATTGCCAGGTGGGTGTTGATAAACTTTACCGTGTATGTTATTCTTTATAATTCCTTGGCTTGATAATCAATGTATGCATGTGAACCGTTAGTCTATGAGAGGTTCTCACGCCGATGGAGTTCCGACGTTTTTCTATTTGTGCCTATTGAGAGGTTTCTCCCGTGAATGGGCTTGTCCCGACGGTTTAGCTCCCGTGAATGGGCGGTGTCCCGACAGTTAGGGGTGTACACACGAGCGTAGGGCGGTATAGGAGGTAGGCTAGACGATTTGTGTTCATGGTGCGATTATGATTTTAAGTCATTATACTGGATAGACTTCATGGTATTCCCACGGTGAGCAAGTGTTCGCTCACCCCCACAATTATATCTCTTTTGAGGTTGAGCTGGTGGTAGTGGCGAAAGACGAGCGAGGCGGGTCATATATTTGATATTGAACTGTTTTATCTGCTTCCGCTTGTTTAATTATTATTTATCTCATTGCCAGACTTAATTATTATTGATGTTTGAATCTGAACCATGTTAGAATATTTGTTTCGGAAACCAGGCCATGTAGTTGGATTATTATGCATGTTCGGAATGGGAATTTGGATATTCTTATGTTGGGATTTTATTGTGACATGGTAAATGTCGGCATGAGATATTTGTTCTGGATGGTTGATTCCCTGTTTGGATTAAATGTTGACTTAACTGTTGATATGTAAAGTTGATGAGTAGCGCCCGTTAAATAAAGTTTAAAAATTTATTTGCGAAAAATTAACTCTGATTTTGAAAAATATAATTCGGTATTTTTCTATTAAAATAATGGGGTGTTACATCTTGACTGTAAGGGCATTCAACTCCCGATAGTCAATACACATGCGCATTGATCCGTCTTTATTCTTTACGAATAGGACGGGTGCTCCCCACGGCGAGACACTCGGACGAATGAAACCAAGATTGAGCAACTCCTGGATCTGGGCCTTGAGCTCTTGAAGCTCCTTCGGCGCCATACGATAAGGGGCCTTAGAAACAGGGTCGGTTCCTGGGACTAGATCAATGGTAAACTCCACTTGGCGGTCGGGCGGTCCTCCGGGCAATTCATCAGGGAAGACATCAAGATACTCGCAGACAATAGAGACTCTCTTTGGGGACCTCTCAAAATCGTCCTCGGATATCATAGAAACCAGATAGCCTTGACAGTTACCCTTAGAAAGGCTCTTCCTAGCTTGCATCGAAGAGATGACTCGAGGCACAGTCCTCGACTTCACCCCATAAAAAATAACAGGCTGATCGGGAACGGGGAAGAGACTAACTTCGCGCTCCTGGCACCGGATATCGGCTCGATAGCGAGTGAGCCAGTCCATGCCCAAGATCACATCGAAGTCCCGCATTTCAATCACATAACAATCGGCCTCTAAAACACGCCCGCCAATACTGACTGGATGGCTGGAAATCATAGAATCAGAAATAATGATCTTTCCCGAGGCTAGACTAACCTCGAGAGGGTCACAATTGCACACATTATCAATAGACAGGGCATCCAAGCATCGAGAAGAGATAAAGGAATGAGTAGCTCTAGTGTCACATAACGCAAAGATAGGCACATTAGATAAAGAAATCATGCCAGACATGGTACCTGCGTTGTTGGCCGCCTCGTCGTGAGCAATGGTATAGACACGAGCCTAACCCCCAGCCTTCTGCTGGTGTGGTAGGGACTGCCTGTGCTGCTGCTGCTGCTGGTACGGTGGAGGAGGAAGTTGTTGTTGCTGCTGCTGGGTATGCTGCCTCGGGGGTTCGGGGCACGCACTGAAGAAATGACCGGGCTTCATGCATTTGAAGCAAACTCGCTGGGTGTACCGGCACTCTCCCGGATGATAACGACCGCAGTTACGGCACTTCGGAAACTGGTCTCGTGAGAAGGGGCACTCACCACGACGATCATTCCCACCGCGCTTTCCCTTCCGGTTATCCCGGCGGGAATCAAACTTTCTCTTGCCCGAACTAGAGCCGGGCGGTGCGGAGGAAATAGGCTGAACTAGCTGAGCAGAAGGGGCAGAAACATTGGGAGTCTGATAACTCTCAAGCTGGGTGGCTCGAATAACAGTCTCATCAAAGGAAAGATTCCCCTGGCTAGCAACATGCATACGGAGGGTTTGGTTCAGACCATCACGAAACTTATGGGCCTTCTTCAATTCAGTGTCCACCATATGTGGAGCAAAGGCGCTCATGCGGGTGAACTCCCGCTCGTACTCCTAAAGGGTACTAGTCCCCTGAGTAAGATCCCAGAAAGCGCGCTCTATCCTCATGCGATAACCCTGAGGATTATACTTCTCCATGATCACCTCCTTCATGCGATCCCAAGTCAGGACATTAAGCTCCGCCTGCCTCAATCTCCAATAGCCGGACCACCATAAGGCAGCACTTCCCTTAAGCATATAACGACCACAAATAACCTTCTGCTCGTCAGAGCACTGCAGGAGGTCAAAGTTCTGCTCTAACTGACGGATCAACTCCGCCACAGCCTCGAGCCCTTCAGTCCCATGAAATTCTGGTGGCGTTAGACTCCGGAATTGGAGCACGATTTTGAGATGAGCCCCAGCCGGATTGGGAGCCTGCTGGTGAGGTGGAGATGGGGATGGAGACAGAGTAGGCTGACGGTTGCGAGCATTACGACGAGCCATAGTTCTACATTGAAAATGGGTCGAATAGTTTAGCACAATAATAAAACAAGTTTAGAGTTCAACACTAGAGTTCACATTTAAAGGTGGATTAGTCCTAACCCCGATTTCATTCCAATAATCAATAATCAACTACTATACAATAATCTCAAAGTCATTCAGGTACTCATACCTGAGTTGGCGCGGCACGACGAGAGCGAGTGGTCTTAACATGAATTCGAAACATATAATCACATAATCAACTTTTTATACTTAAACCAGTCTACAGAAACGCAGACTGGCTCTGATACCAAACTGTAACGCCCCACTTTTATTTACCGAAAATCAGAAAAATTTTTTTGAATTTATTTCAAAAACAATATTCGAGGCGCTACTCATTTTCAAATCAATAATTAATACTCGACATTTTCTCAATATTCGGTAATTATCGATACTCATAATCAATAAGAAAATCCTAATAATCAATCAATAATCCAATAATGATCCTAGGGAAATAATCCCTATCAATAATCCAATACTAGAAAAACAATAGTCAATAATAATGCAATAATATCCAAGTTCCAAAAGCACGTATAGTACAGGTTGGAAAATATTATTTACCCTGCAATAATATCCAAATTCAGTTCAAAGAGGAAGCATTTATTCAAATTAAAGACCACCACTCGCATCCCCTCCGTCGTGCCGCTCTATCTGACCTGCATCCATGAAGAGTAGGTGGGGATGAGCACAATAGGAAACAATAGTGCTCACTGCTATGCCATAAATATTAATATCAATAATCAACAGTAATCAATAATCAAGAGGTATGGTCTCAGCATGTATACGAAGCAATAATCTATCCCATTCTCTCATCAATAATACAATAATCAGACTCATGTGCACACCTATGCATAGACTACTGCTGACTATATATCGAATGCCCTCCGGTCCTACATCGAGTGCCAGCCAGTAGGAGTAAACCACCCCACCGGCCAAGGTCTTGCCTTGGACTTACCAATGAGGATTACCGGCCGAGGGTCCTAAGCCCTGGTCTTACGGCTCCTCAAGGGAGACTACCCGAAGGTACGTTCTATAGCTACGGGGACAACCGTCCGGTGGCCGATACAGCTCACGCCGAAGGCTACATGATTCACATGCATACTTTGATCATACCACAATTAAAACAGTAATAATATTTAAGGCATAGTAAATTTTTCAATTACAACCCACCTGGAAATTTCGGTAGAAAATGGCACACAAAAGCAAGCACGTAGGATGAGGCTCGACTCCTCAAACACCTACATTTAAGCGAGATAATTTATCAATAATTTATCTCACTACTCGAATTTAACATAAAACCCATACCTAATAAAAATTAAGATTTATGGGTTTTAATTGGATTTTTCGTGTACTTGGAACTCTCTCATTTTTGAAAAATATGACTCGGAGAAGTAAATTGGGGTCTCGGAACTTAAAATAATTTTTCACAAAATTTTTCTACTTTGAAAATAATTTTAAAAATAAGTTTGGTTCGAAAAATGGGCCCTGGATCACAAAATTTGGCTTAAAAACGAACTGGGCCCAAGCTGCCAAGCATTAATCAAAATTGCCCTACTTGGGCCGTACACATGCGAACTGGGCCAAAAAAGACTCTCAAATTGGGCTGAAAAGAAGCTGGAATCAGCTGAAAAAATGCGGGCTGGAGCGGCCGTGATCGGGCTCGCGGGCCTACACTGATGAGGGAGATGATCGGGCCAAAAAGCCCGCGCTGCTGGGCTTACAAAAAAAAAAAAAAAAAATCTGCTTCACGCAGCTGAGGGTGTAACATCCCGACTTTTAATACTATCAGAGTACGCGATTTTTCGCAATTTTCTTAATAAACAAATAAAATACTTATTTTGCGAAAACTGATTCGGGATGCTACCGTGAAAAACTTGATTTTTTTTAAAACCGTTAAAATTTTAACTGATAAAGAAAACGGTTTAATGTCTTATCCGACTAACGTCCGAACAAAAACTGATAATAAGTACTGAAAGTTTTAGCGGAAATAACTGCGTGGCAAAACATATATACAATAATCACAAATATCCTGAACAGTTCGCCCGCTCACTCCTCGTCTCCGACCCTGCGACCTGAAAAACATGAAATGCGTGGGGGCGTGAGCACTAAAACACTTGTGCTCCGCAGAAACTCATACTAATGTAAACATCGTAAATAATAACAATATCATGATCTAAGCATATATAACTGAACTAAAACTGAACTGATATCTGATACCGGTCTGATCTCGCGACATAAGTCACGTAACTGATAACTGAAATCTATCGGCACAAACTAATACCGCAATCTCCCGGCACAAACTAATATCGGACCATGTGCACACTCTAGTGGTTAGATTAGGCCACTAGAACCCAGAATAGACCGGCGACCATTCCGAGCGGATATTGAATATACATAACTCGAACATGGTAGCGTAATTATAAACAATGTAGTACTTAGTCTGAGTCCCTACCTGAACTGCTGAAACTGAACGGTAGTGCTGATGCCTGATCAAACTGAAAATAATATAAACAATTACTATTGACTATGCTCAGACTGATAATTTAACTGTTTAATTACTTTAAGATGCTCTACTGAATCTGACATGATATTCGGACTTATTCGGTATAACTGAAACCGGCTAAGTACGAAACTGAACTGATATAAATTAACTGAACTGAACTTGACCCGGAATTTTAACTGGAAATAACACTGAAATTTAGAACTGGGACTGAAACTGACAATAACTGACTGAACTGGTCCAGCCGGTCTAAACCGTTCTAGACCGGACTGCCGGTCCACTGAACCGGGCAGTCGGACTGGCTCGGCCGGCAGCCTGCCAAGTGCTGCGCACGCGGGCGCTGGCTGGCGGCTGCGGGCGTGGGCTG